TGCCCTTCCCTGGGGCCGTCCCTCTGGGGTTCATCCCCGGGGCTCCCAGGCAGGTGGGGGCTGAACCAGGGAGAAGGGTGCTCTCCGCTCTCCCCGGACTCCTGGTGGGGGGGCGGGGGGGGGCCCTAGAAAACGCTTCCCTGAGGCCCAGACCCTGGTCTCTCCTCCACCTGTCCCTTCCCAGCAAAGTCAGCCTGCAAAGGCCTCCTGCGTGGTTAGGGAAGCCGAGGCCCAGGGACTAAAAGGAACTGGGCTGGAATCATTATGCATTTAAAAAAAATATATATATATATATAGCATAATATGCTAATTAGACCGGACCTACTTCGGACAACCTTCTGGATGAAGCTGGGGCTGCAAGGGAAACACGGTCCCAGGTGCCAGAGGGAAGCCGGTGCCCGGAGCCGGGGGAAGGAAGGCCTACTCTTGCACGAATTTCATGCATCGAGCCTCTAGTATATATATTATTGACTTCAGAGAGGAAGGGGGATGGGGAGAGAGAGATAAACGTCAGTGATGAGAGAGAAGCATTGATCAGCTGCCTCCTGCACGCCCCCCACCGGGGACCCAGCCGGGCATGTGCCCTGAGGGAGGGATGGAACATGACCTCCTGGTTCAGCCACTGAGCCGCCCGGCCGGGCTGGTCACGCATTTATCATTTTAACATGCATGCGCTCACTGCCGACACAGCAGGAAACAGCCCCACCCCTGCCTTAATGGAGTGACAGTTTAGTGACAGTGAACAGCATGTTGTCCTGTCAGGGCAACAGGGCTTTGAAGGAACATGAGAGAGGGTAAGGGATGAGCGGTGGCACAGCCGGGGAGGGGAGGGGAGGGGAGGGGAGGGGAGGTCAGGCCTCTGGGAGGTGACACCGGTGCAGAGACCTGAGGGAGCCAACCATGTGGGGAATCTGGAAGGGAAGCAGCAGGTGCAAAGGCCCGGCGGTGGGCATGGCTTGGCCTGTTTGAGAGGCTGGGAGGATGCCCAGGGCTGGCCCAGCTGGGGCAGAGGGACAGTGGGGGGGAGAACAGGAGGCTGGAGAGGGGACAGGAGCAGACCTGTGCGGCCCTAGGGGCTGTGGGGGAGTTTCCAGCCCCTGTGAGAGGGAGGGGAGCCTCTGTGGGCTGTGAGCAGGGGAGAGACGGGACCCAGACACATCACACAACTGGTGGGTGGCACAGCTCAGCCCCCTGGGCCCCTCATAATCCCTTAGAGCAGCGGTTCTCAACCTGTGGGTCGCAACCCCTTTGGCGGCCGAACGACCCTTTCACAGGGGTCACCTAAGCCCATCTTGCATATCAGATATTTACATTACGACTCATAACAGTAGCAACATTACAGTGATGAAGTAGCAACGAAAATAATTTTATGGTTGGGTCACAACATGAGGAACTGTATTTAAAGGGCCAGAAGGTTGAGAACCACTGCTTTAGAGGGACATTTGGCGTTCTTTCTGGCCACACAGCTCTGAAAGCCTATGTTTGGGGAGTTCACCACCCTATGAAGGCCTCCTTTGGAGAAGCCAACAATTCTAAAAACTTGGTTTCCCAGAATCCTCTGCAGTTAGTCCACTCTGGACAATAAGGCTCACAGAGAGGTTAAGTGATTTGCCCAAGGTCACACAGCTGGAAAGGAGCAGAACTGAAAGACAAACTGGCTCAGGGCTGTGGAGAAAATAGTTTCTAGGCCTCTCGACAACATCAGACTCTGTTGTCAACCCAGAGTCCCTTTGCAGGTCTTCAGGCCCTGATCATTTGTACCCACTTCCCCACACCCCCTTTATCACTCCAGCAGTCTGGCTTCAGGGTCCAAGCACTTTATGTGTATTAATCAGTGTAATTTCCCAACAGTCCTATGAAGTGGGTACTGCAATTTTACAAATCAGGAAAGCGAAGCCCAGAGAGGTCAAGACATTTGCCCAAAGTCACACAGCTGAGGAGTAGCAGCGTTAGGCTAGGCCAGATAGTCCGTCCCTGAGTTTGTATTCATAATCCCTCCAGGTCCTACCTCTTTATGCCGAGGCCCCATTTTACAGAGGAGGGATTCTGAGGCTGAAAAGGGCAAGGAAGTGGCTCAAAGTCACAGCTGGCATTCCGGAATGCCAGAGCTGCACACTTCCTTGCACCCCAAGGCCCTGGCATTGCAGAGTGACCTGCTTCCGAACCCTCTCTGTTTCCCACCACCTTCTCTGTCCCTATCTCTCCCCTGAGGAGGTGGCTGCCACAGTCCCCCATGGCCCAATCTTGGGGGTCCCTGATGCCATCTGATTCAGAGAAGACAAAGGTAAATCCAAGCCAGCCCCAGAGCCAGAGAGTTAGGGACCTGCCCGTTACTTCTTGTTCTTGGAGAGCAAGGCGGGGCCTGCAGCAGCCCTGCAATTGACTGGCTGTCAGGCCCATGGGTGGGGGGTGGGGGGGG